AAATAATGTCTAAGTTAATACTTGTTCAAAACAATCACTTTAGCAAAGTTTGTACTATTTTCTGTTTATCTTGAAAAATAAAATAATTAATTTGTTCAATAAATATACTATCATTAAAATATGTTAATATAACAAATATACATTTTAAAATACAGAAACAAAATCATTAAAAAAAAAAAAAGATTCTGAAAGCATTGAAGGAGATCCCATAATAATTTAATATAGATTTACAGTAGTAACAAGAAATTGATATTTTATTATATGATAGGATTAATATCATGTTTTTAAATATGATGGTTTCATTCTAAACATGGTCATTATCTCTAATATGGACACCCAACATAATATATAATATTTACCATCTGAATCTAACCATGTCAAGTCAACAAATGGAAAAGTCAACTATCTATTAATTATCATGTTAATTACTGTGCGCCTTAAGCCCCAACAGCAGGGGCGCTTTTTACCCCAAATACCATACCTTTACATATTCTTTCGTTATTTAAAAACTGTTGATATAATTATCTTAAATAAAACTGAAAATCGTTAAGAAGACCTTTGTCTCACAATAGGCATTAATTTTAGCGATTCTCATTTGCTACTTAAATCTACAAAAAAAAATATTTAAAATCATAAAATATTAGATCAAGTAAGCACAGAATCAACTTTGCGCTGCTGCCCGCGATCACGTCAAGGATCAGCCAAATATACACGTGCATCTTGAAAAGCGGATGTTTTAGAAAGTGCTACGCCACGTTTTTGTGCCATCTAGTGGTTTAGAGGAAAATAATATCAAAGGCGCCTTTAGCTCCGTTGTACCCTACTATTGAAACAGGTTTTCCAAACATTTTCTGTTTGTTTCTGCAGTCTCAAATCTTATTTTTCCTGGTCAGTTTTGAACTAGTCTTAACCTCAGACATCATGCTCATTAGTTTTACAAACCGGCTGAAATGGCAGGAACTTTCTCAAAATCTCAAGCTCCCATCTAATCTACTTGCTGAGATTTTACAAAGTCTGCAGTGTTCATATCTTTGAATCTATTGAAGAGTGTATTTGAGACACTTATAAACAAGATATCTTTCTATGTTTAAAATTCCTTTTTGAGTTCTATCCAATTTCAGGTTTCACATCTAGCACTGAAAATAGAGAACAAATTTTTGTTTTGTTATAATTTTGTCTTTAGTGTTTTCAACTTTTAATATTTTGTCTTTTATCAGTTTTAATTCACTTGTTTTTGTTTTATTTCTTCGTTTATTTTCAATAATTTTTATACTAATTAATAAAGTTAACACTACCTTGCAAAAGTTTGGGGTCTGTAAAATTTTTTAGATTTTATCCTCACCAAGGCTACATTAATTTGATTTTTTTTTAAATACAGTAATTAACATGTATTATGTTATGTTATATTATGTTATACAAAAATACAGTAATTACACATCATATATATTATGAAATATTATTACAATTTAAGATAAATGTTTTAAATTTTAATATATTTTAAAATTGTAATTTATTATTTGATTTATTACTCCAGCTTAAATGTCATATGATCCTTCAGAAATCATTCTAATAGGCTGATTTGCTGCTCAATAACCATTTTTTATTAATATGAATGTTGAAAACAGTTGTGCTGCCTAATATTTTTGTGGAAACCATTTTTTCTATTCTTTGATGAATAGAAAGTTTAAAAGAACAGCAGTTATTTTAAATAAAAAACATTTGTAACATTATAAATGTCTTTACTGTCACTTTTAATGAATTTATTGCATCATTTCTGAATAAAAGTATTCTTATATTATTAGAAAAAAATATTACTGACTCCAAACTAGGGCTGCACGATAAATCGCACGCGATATTTAACGCGCATCTTGTCAGAAAGCCGGTTCTGTAATCAGCGGTAAATCTCCATCACCTGCGGGCTTTCACATTGAGCAGCATTAACTACACAGAGCCGTTGTTCACTGACGAGCTGCGCAAAAAATCGCGCGAATATGAACGTGGTGTTGCGCAGCTTGCCTGTGAACAACGGCTCTGTGTAGTTAATGCTGCTCAATGTGAAAGCCCGCAGGTGATGGAGATTTACCGCTGATTAAAGAACCGGCTTTACTGACAAGATGCGCGTTAAATATCGCATGCGATTTATCGTGCAGCCCTACTCCAAACTTAACAAGGTAGTGTATATTATTAAATGAAAAAAATTTTTTTTTCCAAAAGTAAGGCTCATTTAATTAAGTACTTTTCCCGTGTTTCAATAGCACAAGGTCATTAAGATTTTTGCCTAACAGTTTTTTTTTTTCTATCGATAGGTGACACTGCTACAAAACCTGCTGATGAGACCCAAAAGCCGGCGTCGTTCCTTGGAGAAGGTGCTTCATTGGTGGACTTGGACTCTCTTATGTCAGTCAAGCCCAAACCTAAACAGCCCCCTCTCAACGCCATCCCCATCCAAAAAGCCCCGGGTAAGGAGGGCTGAGAGAGAAAGAGAGACACATTGACAATAAGAGCAACTGAGAAAGAGAGAGAGAGAGAGACGCACTGTATAGTATCTGTTTATTTTTGAGTGTTTGTGACGCAGTGTTTTTCAGGCCTAGAGTTCATATAGTCATGTGGAACATAACCTGTATGTAGTTGATGTAGATCCCACCTCAACCTTCTTTATCCCTGCTTCTATATGCTATCCACTTCCCTTCTCCCTTCCTCCCCATCACCCATCATCCCTTTTTGTTTGCACTTTCAACTGTCATTCTTCCCAGGATTTTTGCCAGCCGCAGGCATGACCTGGCCATTGGGCAGCAACGTATCCAATGCAAGTGGTTCAACTGCACAGCCTTCAAACCCAAATTATTTTGGTTTTAACTCCATGTCACCCTGTTCCAGTGGCCTGTCCCCCCTAAACACAGCCTTTGAGGTGCCTGTCGCCCATATGGCATCTCCAACCCAGAATACAAGCCTTTCAACTTTGACCGTGTCCAACATGGGATTTTCCATGGCTAACCCTAGAATGGTACAACCCAGCACTGCAGGCACTCTTATTGGGGAGTTATGTCCTATGTCCCTCACAGGAACGGTTACCCAACAAGCTCCAGTTCTTCAGCGACCTCCATTGGTTTGGGGCACTGGAACTGGGGCGGCTGGGAAAGGCAATAGCATTTTTTGAGTTCTCCATTCAGCATCCATTGATCCCTAGCCTTCTCCTTTCCCCATCCACTTCATCAATCCTAGTTGATTATGTGTGTGTATTAGTGTGTGCAAATATTTAAATATTAATGAGCAACAATATACTGTAATATACGTTATGTTTTGGGGGAAAAAGCATGCATACCCGGCCTTTCCAATATGATGGACTGAGAAATGGAAGCAGGTGATGTTTTAGAATCCATAAGGGTGTCATTCTCAAAGGTTTTAGGAAAGCTGTCATATCTACTGGAGCAGATTTTGGATATACTCTGCTGTTTAAAAGATTGGGGTCAGTATAGTCTCAGCCTCAGACGTCACGCCCACGGACCGTTGGCTAAACGTCTGATGCATATGGCACACAAAAGTGAACTTCAGGAGTTTCGAAGTCATCATCGGATTGGTTGAATTATAC